CACTATTATATTATATTTATAATTAGGGATATCAGTTCCAAACTAGCAGTTAACTACATAAACTAGTTGCATGAACCAGTTTATAAAATTTATGTAACCGGTTATTAATAATTATATAATTAAATTTGTTTAAATTAACTTATTGCACAGTGTCAGACGTAACAATCCCATGCCAATAAATAAATGAAAAAAGCACAGGTTGTCACATAAGACTGTGCAATGATTTTTTTGCTCCGGGTAAATCAGATATGATCGGGTCTTACGGGTCAATGAACAGAACCCGAACCCGACCTGATACTTTAATAGACCCGACCCGAACCCGATCCGATCTATAACGGGTCTATAATTTGGACCCGACCCGGATCTGAACCCGACCCGACCCGCGAAATTTCGGGTTTGACCCGACCCGACCCGTACCCTAATCAATTGTGTAACGTAAATCGGTCAGTAGACTCTAGGTAGCGATTTCTATTGTCGATCTAACTAAGATCGGATGATCATTTCCAATATAACTAAGATCGGATGATCTATTTCTGGCCAAATTATTTAAACTCGAATATCTCAAATTTTTATTAATTAATATGAAACCCATTACTAAGTCAAAAATGTTCTTCATTAATTTTTACAATAGCTAAATAAAAAAAGTCATTTTTGAAAAATTTTCGATTTGCTTGGTTTCTACTGACGCCCCCCCATATATTCTTAACTTCTGTAAGAAAAAAATCATGCACTTAATACAAAAAAAACAACTATTTAAATTATAATTTGCTGTTCAAATACAACTATTTTAACATTATTAGTTGTATCTTCTTTAATGTTCTTATTATCATTTACCACCTTACTTTGTTGCATTGATTTTTCTTTTCGTTTTTCTAACCAAGTTAAGAATAATCCCTTTCTATATTGATATTGATAAGCGATCCATAGGCTTAAAATTCTATAGACTCTTTTGCCTAAAATTACTAAGATGATAAACAAATAAATCGGGTAAGTTATAAACCACCCAAGTATCAATAGCCATGATAATATAATACGAAATTTATGGAAGGTACACCAATCATTTAACCATGAATCCAACACTTCAATACGATTACATGAAATTATTTGATGATCAGGACCAACAATTTGATCTTTTAAGTATGGAAATGTAGGTACTATATCAAAGCAAGTCAACATTCTATAATAAAGAAACAGTAGTTAGTTTTTTTATAAATATCAAAATTATAAAAAAGATAATAGTTGTAATTACATATTCGTTATAATTATAAATTTTAAATGATGCCAGTCCCAAGAAGAAAAAAAAATGAAACAGGGGCTGCCAAAAAGAATGCAGTAATTAATTAAATAACTAATAATATAACAAACTAGACCAGTAGCTGACAGATAAGATACAGTATTAATACAATAGTTAGTATTGGAACTTAGATAAGAAATATAAAAAAAAATAAATTCATACTTATCGTAGCCATATTTTTCATATAGACCTGTATTGTTTCTATGATTATTTTCCTTATATAATATAGCCTCCGCTTTAGTATCTACATAATATAGAAATAAAATTAATTTTTAGGCTAAACGATTAAGCTGTCCCGTTAACATCATGAGGTTCATGAAATTTAAATACAGTATAGAATAAATTTACTGCGCTTTTCAAATTACTGCGATCAGCAGGTGATCGCCACAATAAATCTAATTATGTAGAATTATATTTCGATTCTGTAGTACTGCCTCGAGTGGTAGATGGTTTGTCGAAATAATATCAAAATTCCTACGCACTAACAATTAGATTTATTCATAAAAAAGTGCCAAAATTCGCCAAAATTTTCGGATTTCCATGTGATGGGCTGATCACAGTAATTTGAAAAGCGCAGTAATATAATTCGATAGATCAATCATAACAGTTTACAGATAATTTGCCTGACGGTTTAAAGGATAATAAAAAGATATGTAACATACCATAGATACTAAAAAGTGAGAAAATCACAATTACAAATATGCAGTTAAAAAATAGAATCCATGGAATAATTTTTACTGGTACTGTTTGAACAAATTCATCATAAAAAGATAATTTTCTTGGTTGACGTGGAATCATTTTTATTATCTTCAAAGAAACAGATATTTAATCATAAAATACGTATATAATTAGGATGATATTTATATGTTCTTATGACCTTGTACTACTAAGTACATCATCCATTCTTTAATTTCCATTAACGTTAATTATGCGCCAATTATGTATTAATTTCCATGTTTACCATTATATATTGATAACATATTGGCATCTATTGTAGATAAATAATATCAATTGAACTAGACTAATAATTATCACTTGCCCCATTTGCTTTTCTCTCGAAAAAAAAACTTATTACATATGATTAAGTAAAGAACACAATTATTTGTTGTCATTCACTACATCAATAAACTCACAATCAGGCCTGCTCGAGAAAAATTATTTGATTAAGAGAATTTAACAAAGGTTTAATATATATTCTAAAAATGAATTCTTTACATGACTCGTGCGAGGTACTGAACATCACTTGCGAAGCGATGGTACATCACGTGATCGAAAAGAAGAGAGCCACACAACATTCCCGCCACACAACATCACTGGGTCATCACAAGCAATTCAAATCGCGCGTGAAGATCACAAGACAACTGTAGAAGCAGGAATTCGGGTGTGGGAAGATCAAAACAAAAAGGGGTAGCAATGAGAACGACACATGCTTGGCGCAAAGAATCAGATATCAAGAAACGGGTAAGTACAGTACAAGTGCAAGAGACAACGAATCCAAGCTTTTCCGATGCTGAAAGGACAACAAGACGAAATTCTCGCCACCCACCCGTACATGAAGACACGTGATTCCATGATTTCTACACTTGCAGCCGGCTCGCTTCGGCAGGCAGGGACCGGTGCTACGACCGGTGAAAGAGCTTTATAGGGTCTTGAACCAATTTAGCTTCGATCGTGAACAAATAGTGATTAAAGGTTAAAGGGTTTAAATTGATAAGCTAACATACATAATTACAAGTTAAGGTTTCTCTTTATTGACATAAATCAATACATCGGATTATCATAATAATACTAAATACTATCAACAATCGTTAACAATCGTTCTAACAACCGTTATTCCCTTCATAAACTGAAACCACATCCTTATATATCTTTAATTCGTAGGAGGGTTATTATCCCTCGTTGAAGGTTTCAATCACCCAACTACTGAACTATGCCACAAACTATACCAAATTAAGATGTACATAAAATGATGATGGAATAATATGACACTAGCTAAAAATTTATATAATTACTCTAGGCCAATGCGTGTCCGGCGATCATCATATAACACAAACGCGTAAACATGCATATTTTGTTGTACTAAATTACAAATTTGAACAGCGTGCGGACGGACAAAAAATATAATGTTTATGTGGCTACATCAAAAAGATAGCAATTTTGGGACCACATGCATCAAAAACGTAATTTTTATATCACCTTGCATAACTAATAGTCCGTCATTATGCTCCGGACAATTATTTACTAAAAGTAGCAAGAAAAAAATGAGTGAGTTTTTTCTGATTAAAATGATCGGATCGCTTCTATTTCCCTATAAGAAAATGTACTGTAATTGTACGGAATGACACGGATCAAGCCCGGATCTTGTTCGTAAGAGACTCGTATTGGTACGGACTTTTGGCTCGCGTTGGACCGTATACTAGTGCTAATTGGACCGTTAATGACTCGGGCTTTGGTACAAACGTACGTAAATTCACGTACAAATATACATACATAAATTTACACCAATAATCAATACGTATTTGAAAATCAAAGTAATTGCATATGTGTAAAATTCTGCAAGGAATTTTTTTCGTTGAGATACCCAGGACAATTTATCGGCGAAATTTTGAGACATTGCGTTTTTTTTTTAAAAAAAAAATTATTGATCCTTCGCTCTTGAGACACGTGCATATACGTATCATTCAATACGTGCCATTCCGTATGACGTGACAAAACGTGCATTTTTAGCCGTTGTGAAGGGCTCCCGGGTCCTCTCTTTTTTTTTTGTTATTTTTTATATATTGATATCTCGTTTTTCTTTTATTTTATTTCGTTGTCTGTCTTTTTTTATATTGTTACTTTGTTTTTAAGAGTCAGCACAGCCCATAGTTACCCTTACCCGATTTGGAAGCTATGGAAATTATGGGAATTTTGGGAATTATGTGAATTTTGAGAATTTTGAGAATTTTAAGTAGCATAAACGAAAAAGCCTCAGATTAAAATGAGCCATTAATGTACTTACTATTAGTGTTAAAAGCTATAAAAGCGCTGGCTGTTTGCCTTGAAATAAAATTAACTCAGAAGAGTTCGACTCAATTAAGAGTCTATTATCCCAACTTAATTGTTTCGCTCAATTACCATAAGTGAATTTTATAATCCCGTGATTCTTAATTAGAGCCTCGTGACATAGTCTAGAGCTCTATTTGGCCCTAATAACTCGGACCAAGTTTTTTCACGCCCTCTTTCATGCCTATCACTATTAGGGTTCGGTAGAGTTGGTAGTTTAGTGTGTTGTTTGGATTAGTTTAGTGTTAGTAGATATCCGTGAGGCCATATTTTGAGTATCCGGATCGACTTTGCACCTCATACGTCTCTACATGCCACATTTCGAGTGGTGCGCATTTCGCCGACAATCACTTCACCGACAGCTTAGTTCACTGACAATTACAGCTGTTTTCATAGATTCTGGGACACCTAAAAATTTTCTCGTTTCCCGAAATCTCTTCGGTTTCGTCCTATGGATCATCTAATCCTTCGGAAAATACATCGCTATCTCCGGAATGAAGTTCCGAAGACAATGACGTGATTCCGAAGAGTTAGGTGACCTTT